TGGTTGCATCTAAGAAAAATTATTGATAGTTTCTTAAACAAATGCTACCGATGATACTCTCTATCACTTAACATATACAAAAGAGATTTCTTAGTTACCAATGCATCTTATTCGGATGCATTTGCTCTTATCTTTTTGCTATTTTCATTTATGTTTTGTGTATATGCACTGTGTAATTTGAACCCATAATATTGATTACTTTTGCTCTTATAATAATAGCAAGGACACTGTAGAACAGATGCTAATTCAAAGCTTTATGTTTGTTTCGTATTTCGGGTAACTTGTATAAGTCAATCTTCTATTACCAATGTAAAATCCAAAATATATTTGAATCAGAACTTCTCTTTTCCGTATCATTTTTACCGTTATTGTTTTATACTTAACCCTTTCAAATTCACATTGCAATTTCATGTTCTTCATTGTTTAGGAAAAAAAAAAAAAGAATAAACAAAGTAATGCGAAAATTTATTCTATTCTCGTTAGGAGAGATTACAATTGAAATCATTGACTATGGGTTTTATTCCAACTCCTCAACATAAATTTAAACTTCCTTATAATTTTCAGGAAAAAAAAAATCTTTATCTATTAAATATATTTTCGTTTGCCTGGGATACATATTTCAATAGAAATAAATTTGGCTCCTCTTATGTGTGGTTGCAGATTGAATTATAACAACATAACTCGCAATTTACTGAAAAACAAATTACTTGCATATCAGAATGGTTGATTGCTTCATTTTATTCTATCTTTTTAAAAAAGAGAGTGGCCAATGCTGCTGGATTGTTGCTGAAAAATTGATCATGCCAGCATCACATGCAATTGACTAATTATAAGATTACTTTTAACTATCCAAAGTAATTTTTCTAATATAATTAGATTACGTATATTTCTAGCTCCCAGAAAAAAGTAATGTAAAACTAAATCATACTTCAATCAGACTTTTCTTTTTTTTCATAGTATTCTTAATTTTTTTTTTCTTTTTTTCCAAAAAGTCAGATGACAATTTTTTGTACATTATTGGTTTCCGAAAAATAAAACAACCTAAGCAAAAAAATTTTTTGGTTACAATTCTAAATAAAAAGATATTACAGTTGAAATCATTGGTTATTATGGGTTTTATTCCAACTCCTCAACATAAATTTTAACTATGTTACCATTTTTGTTAAATACTATCTTTATCCATTAAATGTATAATTGTTAGCCTGGAATGAACATTTCAATAGAAAAAAAATCTAGCTCATCTTTTTGGTGGTTGTAGATCGAGTTATAACAACATAAGTCGCAGTTTTCTGAATAACCAATTACCTGCATATGAGATTGCCGGATTTTGACATTTGATTCTATTATGCCGGAACAAGGAATGGACGATTATGCTTTGTCTTCATATACCTACTCTGCGACTAAGCCACCTCTCCACTTCTTCCGGCCGACTCCCATCTCCGTCAGTGGCTTTTGCTACGACGCCACCCCGTTCGTTCCATTGTTTTAAATGTTCAAGTGTACAAGTATCCCGAGCAAAGTTATTGTCAAATCACCTACGTATATAAATATAAAAATTTCTCATTTTGCCTTGTATAGTATATGAAAGTCAACTATTGTACTCAATCGCGCTATCAATACAAAATATTTACTTGTTTGTTTTGTAAAGGCAAATTTCCGTAATCTCATGTTTCATATCTAATCATGGGCCAATACTTTTTGCACAACTCATTATTTCAATTATATTAAACTTAGCTACCCTAATGTTTGTTCTAATAATTACTGTACCATATTCAAATCGCAAAACAACACCGCCAACATCTACATGTACAAAATAGAGAATAACTTTCCAAGTTGACAACCTAACAACGTATAATTCATTAAACCGTATTAAGTTATAACACACTTTAAATAGATCTCGTCAACTCACTTTTTAACATATATTATGGGATATAAGCTATAACCAAACAACAATGTCTTCCTCAATACTGCAACATAACAAAATCACATTAAGAACCACCACCAAAATACACAATTCAAAACACACCATCTATCATATCCACAAAAAAAAAAAAAAAAACACCACAACGTAGTGCGCAGAAGAAAACTAGTAATTATGTAAGTATATTACTAAATAATGGCATATATATATATATATATAAACATCTAAATGCAGATTGGTTTCAGAATCATATGTAAATTAAATTTTAGTGTAATATATTTCTTATGTCTCATTTACCATGTCAATTTTCATTTTCGTTTATCCAATCAATTCTGTCACATTTTTTTTTAAAAAAAAATGGCAAAATAGCAAAAAATCTCCATATAGTTTTCCGAATTCGCTAAAAAACCTTCGTGGTTATAAAATTTCAAAAAATCTACTTGTAGTTTCCAAATGTTGCATATTCGCCCTTTTCCTCTAAAAATTCTACTAACAAATGTTAAATTTTATCACATTTGACCATTATGCCTGTATTTATATTTTTTCTAATTTATTTATCTCTTTTATGTTCTTCTTTCTTCCACTTTTTCCCAAGGCATCCACTCTCATCTTCTTCTTCCTCCTTTTTCTCCGAGGCATTCACTCTCATCTTCTTCTTCTTTTCTCTTCTTTCCACTGAAGCGCTGGATGCAATCGCTCTTTGGAGTCGAAGGCGCCACTGTGCCGGAGGAGCAGCCGCTGATAATCGCCACCACTACTGGTCGTCGGCATGGGGTTGAGTTGTTCTCCGGTCAATCATATAATACCCCGGAGTTGGGCCGGTGCTAGGCCCAACTCCCGTAGATGAGCCGGTGCCAGGCTATCCAATATTGAGTATAGGTTAAATTGATTGAATAGACTACTCATGTCAACAATGTACATTGGCTCATCCGTGACAGTTGGCCTAGTACCGGCTCAACTCCGGGGGTATTACACATTTTGTGGGAAACGAATTCTTTCGCATCCAATTTCAGAACATGAATAGGAAGGAACTTAATTTAATTTCAATTTACTTTTGGGTCCTATTTGTTTATGCTCTTTATATTCTTCCCCAATTTTTCTTTCACCTTTTGGGTCCTATTTGTTGTGTTCTTTCTCTTCTTTCCCATTTTTCTTCACGCGGCCACAGCCGCACTATGTTTTTTCTTTTCTTTTTTTTTTTTCTCCAATTTTTTTTTCTTCATTCTTCTTCTTCCTCAATTCTAATTCTTCTTCAGGCAAACAAGTTCTTTTTTTTTTTCTTTTTCCCCATTTTTTTCTTCTTCCTTATTCTTCTTGCCCGATTATTGTTCAGGCGAACTAAGTTCTTTCTTTTCTTCTTTTTCCTTAATTTTTTTTCTTCATTCTTCTTCCACAATTTTTCCTGGGGTGAACCAAGTTCTTTCTTTTTTTTTTTTTTCTAATTTATTTATTTATTTATTTTCGCAATTCTTTTTCATATGAACAAAGTTATTTCTTTTTATTCTTATTCTCCATTTTTTTTTCTTCCTTGTTCTTTTTCCTCAATTATTCTTCATGGGAACCAACTTCTTTTTTTTCTTATTTTTTCCCAATTTTTTTCTTTCTTATTATTCTTTTTCTTCCTCAATTATTCTTCAGGCGAACCAGGTTATTTCTTTTTTTTTTTTTCATTTTTTTTTCTTTCTTTCTTCTTCTTCTCCAATTATCTTCGGGAGAATCAAGTTCTTTCTTTTCTTCTTTTTCTTCAATTTTTTTTCTTCCTTCTTCTTCAGGCGAGTCAGGTTTTTTTTTCAATTTCTTTTTCTTCTATCTTCTTCTTCACCAATTCTTCTCAGGGGAACCAAGTTCTATCTTCTTTTTTTTTTTTTCTGCAATTTTTTTTTTTCTTCTTTCTTCTTCTACTCTAATTCTTCTTCAGGCCCACTAACTTTTTTTTTCATTATTTTTTTTCATCCACGGGTTTTTTCTGTTCTTCTTTCTGGACCTAAAATTGTATTTAAGACGCATGACATACATTCTCCGGTAGTCCTAATGGTGGAGGATTTTTCTGCAATGTTTACAAACCACAAGGTTTTTTTTTGGAACCAGGGGTTTTTTAGCAAATCATTGGGTTTTTTTTTTTTTTTTCTATTTTTCCAAAAAAAAAATAATATAAACTTTAATATTATTTTAAATTTTAAAATTTATATATTTTTTTAATTTTAATAAGACTAATTAGTTATCTTAATTTTAATATAAAATTATATTATACAATAATTATTTTTATTAATACATTCTTAATTAATTACTAATTATACTCCTTTTAAATTCTCGTGACTACAATAAACCGGACATTATAGTCCGGAAGGAGAGTAATATATAAAAAATAATATTTAATTTAATTTTTTTTAAAAAATTAGAATAGTAAAATCAAATAAATAAATACACATAATGTATTCAAAATATATAAAAAGTGTATTTGTTTGAGGATTCTTTAAAAATCTATTATTCATCGTTTTTTTTCTCCTCAAAATATAAAATTAAATACTTATTTTTTTAGTTTTTATATTATATAAAAATAAATTTTTACGTTCATATTACATCAATATATATTTATATCATATTATATAATTATTTTAATTTAAAAATTTGGAATTATTTAAATAAGAGATTTTTTAAAGAGTTTTGAAAATTTAAAAATTTAAAAAAAATTAAAAAATTAGTATTTTTTTTAAAATAAAAAATATATTTGACGTGAAATTTTCTAAAAATATAAATAATTCCAAACGAATAAAAATGCATTAAGGGTGTGTTTGTTTGGGGATTTAATAAGATTTCTATTATTCATCCAATTTTTTTCCCCCAAAAACATCGAATCAAACACCTATTTTTCATTTTTTATATTATACTAAAAATCAATTTTACATTCAAAACATCACATCAACACCTATTTATATCACATCATACAACTATTCAAATTCAAAATTTTTACTATTCAAATCCCAACTCAAAATCCAAACCGCCCAAACAAACACACCCTAAGTAAACAAAGCATTTGTGTTTTGAATATCAGATTCAAAATCCAAATCATAAACAAAAACACAGATACATAATAAAACACACAAACCCTACCGCCCTCCCCCACTTTCTTCTTCCTTCGCTTCTTTCTCTTCATTCTTTTCTCTTTCTTTTTCCTTTTCGTTTTCTTCTCCTCCTTTTTTCTAAGTTGCTGCCTCCCGAATACGGATGTCTCCGCCGCCGCCGCCGCCGCCCGCTAGAATATTCGTTGAGTTTTTCTTTTCCTCTTTATTTCTTCTTTTGCTCTATAATTGTCGACTCGTGCATCCATTTATCAAGAAAATCGAGTATGTTTGTAATATTTTTCTCATCTGGTTTGTACATTCTTTTTGTTTCCGTTCTCAGCTTCTTCTGGTGTAGCCGTCGCCGCCGATACGATATATATATATATATATATTGCAAGATGCAGTTAAACCCTTCAACCCTGCTACATACTTTTCTGGGGTTTTTCAATCGCTGCAAAATTTCGTAGGTGGGATTTTCAAACATCAATCTGCGCGGAATTGAGTGGTTGCGCCGCCGGTTAGGGGGAATTTTGGGGTCTGCTTGATTTGTTGATCTGCTGTTAGTGATTTTAAGTAAGTTGGCCAGCTCAAAGGCGGTTGTGAATTTGTTCTTCGACTCATTGTTTAATCTATGTTTGATTCAATTCAGGGTGCGCGAGGATGTGGTGCCGTAATTGCGCAGATGATGTTCCTGCTGAGAACTTTGACGGCAAGATGTAAGTGATTTTGATGAGGTTGTATCGTTGGTTCGTGTCAATTTTGTTGTTGGTTTCTATTAGGTGGCTCAAGTGTTGTGAATTTGATTGCTGGTTTAAAAGACCTTTTTTTTTTTTTTTTTTTTTTTTTTTTTTTTTCTTTTTTGGTACGATTGGTGTTTGATTACTCATACCTTATATTCTCTTTCATCTTAAATGAGGTTTATTTTGTTGTTATTGTTGTTTATGTGAACAGTAAAATTTTGAAGCCAAATAGGTGTTGGACCTGGTGTCTTAACCATTAATAGGGTTTTTATTTAATATTTTAGATGAAAAATAGGTGTTTGGATTTGACGAATAGTTTGAAAACAGTTTTGGTTTTTGGATGCACAAATAAACACAGCATTAAGACCTAGGATAATATTTAGGACAATAATATTATGATATGAAATAATACCTTGTCATCATATAAATGAAAATGTATCCTGCGTGTGATGAATTAGTTCTGTTTATGAATAAACAGATGTTGCCCTGGTTGTGGAAGAGTTCTGATTGAGGATAACTTCTCACAGGAGCCCACATTTGTGAAGGGCTCAGCGGGACAGGTTTGCTCGTAATTTAATTTATTAATGCATGATAGCATTGCTAGCTTACTTCACGGTCTGTAATATTATTTTTTTGAAAGGGTGGGAATGAATCAATTTGGTTTATCTTTATCGTCCACGTCGTAAGTGACATAATTTTTGTTTCGATTGTGGGATCATTCAGTATTTTATTGTGCAGTATTTTTGTTACACAGCTAAAGCAGTTATATATCCAAATAAAATATGATTCCTCTTTTATAAGGAAATCTCAAATTACAATTGATTGGACAAAGGATTTGGATACCTGATAGATAGAACAATGAGAAATAAATGATAATCCAGAAGTTCTTGTGGAGCAAGAAAACTCATTTTTTATTTAGACCCACCTTTTCCAATTCCACTTCTTTATCTTAGTTGGGCATTCCTCTGAATTGTCGTTGTTGAAAATGTGTTTACTTCTTTTCATTTGAATGCTTACCAGAAATGAAACTTGTTATAAGTGGCTAATAGATATGAATGTCATTGCTGCACTCCATAAAAACTTGAGCACATGCTGTATTAATTGACTCAAATATATCTGCAGAGCCAACTATCAGGAACTATTGTAAGGAGCAGCCTAACTGAGTATTCAGTATCACGTCAGAGGACAGTGGATGAAGGTAAGTGTCTTTGCTACTTTACATCACAGAGAAAGTACCGACTGAGGAATAACAAGATATTCCTAATGATGTTTATTTATCATATTACATACACTGTGATTTCCAACTTTAAGATAATTCTTGAACATTTTTTAGAAATCCTAAAATATCCAACATGTACATCTGTAGACTTTCCCAGCAACCGTGAGTTCATTTAAGTGTTGAATTTCTCAGTTATTGATTAGGAAATAGCTAGAGGAAAAACATAGATGTATTATGGAATAATAATGTGTAACTACCTTTAGCTAGTTATGCCTCTAATTGCCACAAACTTCTTAATCAAACTTCAACCAGAGGCATTTCTAGTTTCTGTGTTTTATAGTGTGTGAATTAACATATTGTTTGATGAGCTACAGTGCCGGTTCCTATTGGAAGAATGCATAAGCAAGCACGGATGACTAGATCTAGGATACTTATAATATGAATGGACAACTTTAACAATGCTAGTGATGCTAGAATGTGCTTATACACGGAAGTTCATTGATATCTAAAATTTAGTTGCTTGCCTTCGGCACACTACCATGCCTTTTGGTTGAATTTATAAGTTCCGTATCCCCTCAATGAAATATTCCTTAGTTTTGGATCCTCTATCAAAATGTTGTTTGACCTCCTTCAATGTTGCAGCACGTAGAGGGATAGAAGATTTGATGTATAAGCTAGAAATTGATGGTGGTGATTCTATAGCTAATCCAGCCTTAGCCTTTTATAAGGTAAAGTTTGGCATTGGCATGTTTGTGCATCTAAATGCGGTTGATAAACAGATCATGATAGATAGTTAATGATGGTGGTGATTCTATAGCTAATCCAGCCTTAGCCTTTTATAAGGTAAAGTTTGGCATTGGCATGTTTGTGCATCTAAATGTGGTTGATAAACAGATCATGATAGATAGTTAATGTTTCTATTACAGCTTGGACTTGAATGGAATTTCACACGGGGACGCAAAAAAGAACAAGTAGAAGCTGCTTGCCTGTATATAGCTTGTAGGTAAGAATGTGTCTTAAAGAGCACAGCTTTTTAGATCTTTTGTCCTAGAATGGAGAGGATTGTGTAATCTTATATTGGTAGCTTGTTTCCAATTCGGTGTGAGAAATTATGTGTAATGATTCCTCTCGTGGTATAACATACCTACTAGCTTTAGAGATGCTCCAGACCTTATGATAAGAGAATTTTCTTCTGTTTTTGAAATAATTTGTATCAAATGATCAGACTATTTTTTTTTTTTTTTTTTTCCGGAAAATTGAAGCAAGTATGCGCTTTGTCATCTGAGTTTCCCATATTTTTCATTAAAAACTTAATGTAATGGTAACCAACAAGGACAATGACCAATTACAAATGATACTTCATTTTGTAGCAAGAAAAAGAAATGAATGGTCTTTCTGAAATTAACATGCAGACTTCAAATGCTCTTGTATGTGAGTTTGTATCTGTTAACATAAAATTGCCTTTATCAATCAAAATGTGAAACCTTGATTATCCTTTCCCTATTTTTTGCAGGCTGAACAACAAGCCGTATCTTCTTATTGAGTTTTCAGAACAACTAAGCATAAATGTGTAAGTACATAGTTTGTTTTGTTAGCGGCATTGGTTTGTTGGACTTAGATACAAGTTTTCTTAACTCAAGATGAGAAACTGTTATGCTTTTATCCTATACTAAGATGCATGGGCATTGCTGAGATGAGGCCTAGTGTTTACTCTTGAGAAGGCATTTAAGTGCTAAAATTTTGCATTATGCTAGCAATGTTAGATTGGAATAAGATCATAGAAAGTCTTAATTTTGTCTACGGGAAGTAACTTAGCAGTCTGGCTTATTATTATTATTATTTTTATAAACTTTGGTAGAAGTTGCTTGAGATAGTAAAAAACTAAACATTTGTGGAGTTCCTTGCAACTGCTTGTTTTTCAATCACTACTGTGGTTCTTCTAGAACGTTGATGTGCTGCATTATTTTCTTTCAACTAAGGGTCACTATAAGCTTGATACAATTCCAATAGATAATTTACCGGAAAACAGTATGCCAGTCGCTCTTTGTTTCTTATGGTGTGTCTGTTTGAAAGATTTTGAAGGATTTGTACTATTTACACAAATTTTTCTTCTCAAAAATATCAAATCAAACATCTATTTTTTATTTTTTATTTTTTATATTATACTCCCTCCGTCCCAAACAAGGTGCAACATTTGCTTTTGGCATGGGTTTTTAGGTGGGTAGTATTAAGTATGATAATTTAGAAATTAGGTGATGTGATGGAGAGAGAAATATATATTTTATTTTTTAATTTGGATGATGTGAGAGGATAAAGTGTGGGGTAGAGATTAGGTATAATTAATTATTTCCTATTTTGGAAATGTTGCAGGGTGTTTGGGACATACCAAAAAGGAAATGTTGCACGGTGTTTGGGACGGAGAGAGTACTAAAAATCAACCTTACATTGAAAACGTCACATCAATACTTGTTTATATCGCATCATACAACTATTTCAATTCAATTTTTTTACTATTCAAATCACAACAAAAAATCCACATCCCCAAACAATCACACGCTAATGTCAAATGAGCTTACACTTTCTTAAGCACCTGTGTGTTTGTTTGGGGGATTGGATTAGATTTTCACTATTCATCCCATTTTTTTTTCCCCAAAAACATCAAATCAAACACCTATTTTTTATTTTTTATATTATACTAAAAATCAATTTTACATTTAAAACATCACATCAACACCTATTTATATCACATCATACAACTATTCAAATTCAAAATTTTTACTATCAAATCCTAACTCAAAATCCAAACCCCCAAACAAACACACCCTTGATGTACTTGTCTCATAAACCCTTGAGACATGTATATGCTATTTATAATTTTATAACAAATTAGGAACCCAATGCTAATTCTGCAGAATATATGTATATATGCACCCATGGTTACAAAGTATTTATTTCTTATTTTTTGTTTTTGGAATGCTGCTGAATCTTTCCATTTTAATATTTTGGTAATATTCACAGTTATGTGCTAGGAGCAGTGTTTTTGCAGCTTTGCAAAGTTTTGTACCTTCAAGAACATCCAATAGTTCAAAAGCCAGTGGATCCAAGCCTGTTCATCCACAGGTTTACTGATCGTAAGTGATGACCTTTTCCTATTGTCTATACCTGTGTTCTCTGCTTTCAATTTTTATAAAATTTTTCGCATGTTTCATAAATAGTTGGTTGGAAATTGAGGTTTTTGCAGAGTGCAACATTTGTATTGATGTGATGTGATCGGTGGAAAATGTGATAGTATGATGTTTGATCTTTTTCAAAGGCTGTTTTATCAATATTTCCGGCTGCTAGTAGTGCAAATAATTTTTTGCTGCCAACATTTTACAATTATCCATCTAACTTGGTTAATGGTTATATTTTCTGAATTATACTTGTCTATACTCTTTTGTTTTCTTTTTACTTGTCTTGGTAGCAATTATATTAATCTGTATCAGACATTGTAAGAAGATAGTTGAAATGTTCTTTCTAGGTCTATTTGGCGGCAGAAAACCCGTTGACTCCACCAGAATCTCCCAGACTGCACTGCGTGTTGTAGCAAGCATGAAGCGAGATTGGATGCAGGTTGTATTTGATTGTTTGTAGATTCTTGTTTGTGAGAGAAATAGAAGCTTCACATTATATATTTATTCTTTATATAAAGAAATATTGTTGATCTCTAAAATAATCAAAAAATGGCTTCAGACCGGGAGAAAACCAAGTGGTCTATGTGGAGCTGCCCTGTATATAGCTGCCTTGTCGCATGACCTCCCGTGTTCGAAGAATGATATTGTAAGTTGTAGAGCACACTTTGTTGCTTATGCTTTCTCAGTGATCTATGAAGAATGAAATGGAGATAGATATCTTTCTTTTAAAATGTACAATAGTTCATCCATGCAACATATATCACCATCTACTTATGCTATCATTAATAAAAAATTCAATCTAACAAATGCACGTGAAACCCTGAATCGTCATTGGGGAATGACTAAATAAAACATTCATACTTGACAATGTCTCTCCGGGTTGTCAAAACTGCATTTCTAAATTGTTTCCTTTGTCTAATATATTTGTGCTCTTTAGAATTTTCTTTAAGTCCAATAATTCATCTCCGTACTAACTTGAAGTAAAATGCTGTCAGATTAAAGTTGTCCACATCTGTGAAACAACATTGACAAAGCGTTTGATTGAATTCGAGAATACAGAATCAGGTGGTCTAACGGTATGTTCTAGTAACTAACTTCATATATGGTGTTAACATCTGTGTTTGCATCTTGTTGTGTAATATTCGTCGTAAGAATGTACAATTTTGGTTTCACCAATTATATTAATGACTTGGAATATGGAATGTAAAATAGTTAGATATCATGTTATGATATTCTTTGTGGGATTCACATAATTTTAAGTTTAAATGGAAATTTCACATTATTTTGTGTTCATCAAAAGGACATAATTATTCAAAATTTTTTGTATATTTTGATACTTAAATTGTTGATAGTGGGCAAATAAACTTTTTCTTACAAACTAGCAATGCACATTATTTTTCTTTTAAATGAGTGGCGACATTTCTCTTGACAAGAGGTTCTTGAGCATAATGTTCTAACACTATTAAATTGATGGATGCTATTTGTACACCGGTGAGATGTTTGTCTGTTTTATGGGATCATGCGGAATATTTTGGGTTTGTTTCTTTGTATTTTTTTCCAGCACATTTTTCGAAAAAATATATTAAACATTCTTTTTATATTCTTTTTATATTATCTATACAAGTTTTTATACTTTACATACAAAATTTTCCTTCAAAACAAACACACCTTTTATATTTGATTAGATTGAAGAGTTTAATACGAAAGCCACGGAGATTGAAACTGAAGAGATGCTGTCCAAATCTCTTGATGAAGGGGTAAAAGCATCTGGAATTCATGAACTTCTCTGTCAGCACAAAGGGAGTGAGACGCCTCACTTCGCTCATGGCCTTTGTAGAAGCTGCTATGATGATGTAATTCTGGTCCCTTATTCTTTTTCTTCTAATAATAATAATAATAACAGTGTCTTGGTTGTTGATTGGTGCAGTTCATGAAACTGTCTGGGGGTCTTGAAGGTGGATCCGAACCCCCAGCTTTCCAGCGTGCAGAGAAGGGAAGAATGATGGAAGAGAAAGTTGATGCTGACAGGTCTAATGATCTTGAATCCTCTATATTGCCGGACTCTGCAGAAAGCCAGAGCAAAGTTTCAAATGTATGTCCTGATCTTATCAATCCTTCTATTCTTTTTCTGCATTACCTGGTGCTTTAAAATTTGAAGATAGTTGTTTCAATTCTTCTTTTTTTTCTCCCCAGTGTCCTTTAATGTCTTTAAGTGCTGTTCCATTTCTAGCTAGCACAAAGCATCTCATAACTTTTAGGTATTCCTGGAGAATTATCCATCTTTGTTCTTTATGTAAAACAAGTATTGTTTATATAGAGTTTGAGGTATATGCTTTGAGCTCATGGGCTTTTAATATCAGATTTCTCGGAAATAAGGTACGGTTGTTCTATGTGAATCATGTGGCTTCCTTCTTTCTGTTTTCTGTGTTTTTTGTTTTTCTTTAATTTTTTTTTTTTTACTTAAACTGCTACAAAGGCTACCACTTCATAATGCTGTGAGTCTGTGACCAGTTTTCTACTTTTTTGTTTGCTGGAAAGATTCAGCTCTTTGCAATATTAAGAAGAATAATAATAACTTTCATTCATATCATATTTGTTAGTCCAACAAGCAATGCAGAACAAACGATCTGAGTGAAAATGAAGTTCCACAAACTGCAGAGTCTGGCTTAACAGGTATGACCCACCCTTCTATAGTATGTACAATGCAAGGATCATGGAATGCGTAGAGCTTTCAGAATTAAAAAATTAATTTTATTTAATAAATCCAGGAGATCAATTGCAACAAGAAGACATGGATCATTCAAATATAGATGGAATACATCCAAATGATGATACTCTTGAAGAATCAGAAAATCTATCTGATATTGATGACACTGAGGTTCTTAACCCTTTATTTGATTTTATTCAAGAAGATTGGCCTATGTTATGTTATCATAGTTTAAAGATTCTGTATACTTCTTTTTTCCCAAGTGTGGATAGGAGTGGTAGTAGAACTGCGCTAATGGCTGGCATAAAGATATTTTCTGTCGGGAATATAAATATATATATATATATATGTACTATTATAAAACTATGCTTCATGCTACCAGGAAGGATTTCTTTCTATAGAACTAGTATATTGTTGAATATATATATATATATATAAATAAATATGTTTGGCTTTTCATTTGCCAATAAACCCAAGTCTGCTTCTTTCTTATGCATTTCATTCCCTTTTCATGTTTTCAGCATCTCTTTCTAATGAATCATTCCTGCAGGTCGATTTCTATCTAAACAATGAGGAGGAGAAACGATTAAAGAAGATCATTTGGGAAGAAATGAATAAAGAATATCTTGAGGTATTGGACTGTTTGCATACAGTCGACTCCATATGGTCTTGTTAAATTTAGACAATATTTGAAGCTCAAGATTGAATTATGGTTGTTTTCACTATGTCCAATCTTATGTTTCACAATGAGGCACCAAAATGCATGCTTTTTTATAATTTATGCAGACGTGGTAGTTCTTTATCTTACAAACTCCTTGTACTCAAACTTACAGGAGCAGGCGGCTAAAGAAGCTTCCGAACTAGCTGCAAAAAAAGCAGAAGAAGAGTTTTTTGCTAACTGCAGTGAGGAGGTAAAAGCAGAAAAATTGAAAGCTGCACAAGTAGCTGCAGCTGTTGCAAAGTCAAAGAAGGTGATGCCTTGATGATTTAGTTAATTTCTTATTACTTGTCGAGTTGCGAAGATTACCTAGAAATACATGCTAGGGCTAAGCAATTGTATTCTTATTGGTTGTATCAATTATGGCTTGCAGGAAAGGCAACAAAAGAGGGCTGCCGAGCGGAAGTTGGCTGGTCCAGCTCAAACTGCTTCAGAAGCAGCAAAACAAATGCTCGAAAGAAAGGTACAATCCACACCCAACATTTGAACTGTTAATATATATTATCATAGAAGAAGAGACGATGTCCAGCCTATTTCGTTAGTTATCCTCCTGGTTCCTAAAGTTCATTGAAACTTCATGTTAAGAACATACGCCAAGGGAATCTGATCTTAAACAATCATAATGACTCATACATGCACATAAGAAAGGGATACTAGATCCCCTTCCACTGAGTAATATAAAAAATGGAGTAGCTTCACAGGTTATTTAAAAAATTAGAAGGCTACAAACCTTCGAGCAATAGCTTCAAAAAATGTCCTAATCATAATGTGTTGTACAAATGGTCGTGTTACAAAGCATCTGAATAATCACTAGCACCCCGGTGTTTTTTGAAGACATTTACATATGAATTGTGTGAAAGTAAGTCAGCAGTCTTAACTGTGGAACTAAAGAATTAATCACCAAAATTTAGCTTATTCAGTCATATTCCATTGACAGAAACATTTAATGATGATTGAACACCGATTCCATGTTCACATCTATATCTTTATTGTACAAATCATTGAAGTTACTGTATGTTTTTTGGTACAGGGATTTAGTTCCAAGATCAGATATGATGTGCTAGAACAGATGTTTGATGAATCTGTAAGTAATTCTTTACTATTTATCCCAACCTAAATTTCACTGAGTTCAACTGAATTGAAGAATGTTTTCTTGAACTAGTCATTTACATCCATTTTGGATCTTCGAGAAGGAGATAGTTTTTACATTGCATGTTAGTTTAGTCGAAAAGCTAAAACATCGACCACATGACAAGTAGACGAGCGCCGTATCTTATTTATAAAATTTGATGCTATGTATGTATATCTGTGTTTATTTTATTATCCATTGTTGACTGCTCAGGAAAACACTGAGAAAACGAAGAAAATGCGAACATCCGGTGAAGATGATGATAAGTCTTCCAATTGGAGGAGCGAAGAAGTAGTAGAAGAGCCGATTGAGGGTGAGGATTGTGTAAGAGAAGATATTAACTGCCAACATGAAGAAAATAATATTGATGATTATGACGATGATGATAATGATTTATGGTAGTTTTTTCTGTTTTTTCTTTAAAAAAATTGTGCATATTTATTTACTACTTCTTACATATTTGTATGGATGAGTTTTTTTATGTTTTCCAATGATTTTAGATATTTATTAACGATTTAATTAATTTTTTCATTATTAATTTATTATTCTATTAGAATTAATCCCGTGATATACATATGGTTATTATATACTTCTTCCGTCCCACGGTATTTTAGGAGGGATGTAATTAGTAGATAATTAAGAATGTATTAGTGAAAATAATTATTCGATAATATAAATAATTATAAATTAAGATTAAAATAACTAATTAGAAAAAAATAAAATTAAAAAGTTTAAAATGAGATTAAAGTGTAATTATTTTTTAAAGAAAAGTGACATGGTATGTGAGATGGATATAAATGGTAACGTGGATATGGTATGTGAGACGGATGGAGTATTATTTTTGTTAATTCATAGTAATTCTTCTATTATTTTCGTTTCTCTTATTTTAAAACTATTTTTTTAAAAAAAAATATTAAACAAATAAAATATTATTAATTTTTACTTAAATTTGTATATATTGTTATATATACAATTGTTTTATGCATAGTGTTAAGGTCATTTTTTTTTTCAAATGACCCTATTGAAAGGACAAAGAGACTAATATATTGATTTTTGTTTTTTGTTTTTTTTTATATCATTTATATTTTGATAGATATTATATTAAAATTAATAATTTTGTATTAATTGAATATTTAAATTATATTGTTATTCACGAAATGTTAAAAGTATATATTCCTTTCGTTCCGGTGAAAGAGTTTGTTTTTTCACGTAGATTTTTAAATATTAGTATTATATTGAATTATAGTGAAAAAGACAAAAATACTCCTATTAGTATAGTGTAATATAAAAGTAATGATATTTGTGTAATATATTGTAAGTTGAAAGGGTATTTATTATGTTAAGTAAGTAATACAATTACTAAATTATCAAATGATAACCTTGTTTTTGGACGGACGAAAATGGAAAATGACAACCTTTCAATGGGACGGAAGGAGTATATTTTTTTATTGCAATTCATATATGAGAATTTTGCTACTCCCTCTGTCCCATAAGTAAATATCTATTTGCTTTTTGCACATAGTTTTAGAAATATTAGTATTATATTAGGATATAGTATGAATAAAATAGAATTGACTAAAATAACCTTATTAGTATGTGTGATATAAAGGTAATGACATTTGTGTAATATATTGTAAGTTGTAAAGGTATTTGTAATGTTAGGTAGATAATACAGTTATTAAAAAAGAAAATTGATATTTTGTTATGAGACAGACTAAATTGAAAAAATGGATACTTTGTTATGGGACGGAGGGAGTACTATGTTCGTCCCATAAAATTAGCATCATTTGTCTTTTGCATAATTATATTTTCGGTTCTAAGGGTCCTATTTATCTTTTTGTGTGTTGATATTTGAATATTAATTATTATATGAAAATATAGTACAAATTATGAAAAAATGACAAAAATACTTCTATTAGTATCTTATAATAATATTATAATAATATTTGTGTAAAAAATTATACAAATATAAAGATATTTTTAATGTTAAGTACAATAACGCAAAAAATAAATGACACCTTTAGAGAAGAACGGATGGAATATATATATATATATATAAATAAGCACACTCATTGTTTATATTTAAGCACAAAAGTTAGCAATTCAATGTAAAAAATCTAAGTTGTGTTCTTTTGTGGATTTTACCACAAGATTTTTACTATTCAAATTTTTTTCCCCTTCAAATTATCACATCAAATAATTAGTTTTTTTTTTTTTTATATTATACTACAAATTTATTTTACATTCAAAATATCACATCAACCTCTAGTTATATCACATCAAACAACTATTCAAATTCAACTTTTTACTATTTAAGAATCCAAATCCAAAAACTAAAACCCACAAACAAACTCATTGTTTGTTTTGTAAAAATTATCTTACATATTTTTCAAAAAATTAATATATTACACGTTTATTGTTTTAATATTATCTACATTATTTTTTATACCAAAAATTGCAATAAAAAAGAAATAAGGAAGGTTGACGCATAAAAAAATCTTTTCAAACCAAAACACAAAACAAACAAATTTAGTATCGATTTTTTTTCTTATAAAAAGTAAGTGTAGATTTTATTATACTCCCTCCGTTCCGGAACTATAATAGTCTTTGTTGTGTTGGACACGAGATTTAAGGAATATTGATATTATATTGACAGAGTAAAAAGTATAGGTAAAAGACATTTTTACCCTTGTGAGTGTATTAGTATAAAAAGTAGTGGTAATTGTGTAATAATAATGAAAGAGTAAGGATAGTTATACAGTGATATGATTATTTATGAAAATAAGACTATTGTTTTAAAACGGACAAAAATAGTAAATAAGACTAGTGTATTAAAAATACTATTAAATTAATTTACGGACAATTGGACTTAAATTTAAGCTTATCTATATTAATATTATTGAATAAAATTAAAATATACAGACAAAATAATAATTACTGAGTAGGTATATATATATTTTTTAATAAGAATATTATACTATATACATTTATTTTCATTGAATATATTTTATTTTTTATTTAAAACATTAAAATAATCCTTAGTTATTTTTAATTAATAACTATGTGATTTAAAATTTTACTACTTTCAAAATATGAAAAAATACAAAATCATAATAATAAATAATATTCTCTTTGTCCATTTACTTTGTTTATTTTTCCATTTTCGTTTGTCATACTTAATTTGTTATTTTTTTTCTAAGAAAAAAATTATATACTTTAATTTTATTTTAAAATTTATAGTTTATAATTTTTTCTAATTTTAATTAAACTAATTAGTTATCTTAATTTCAATTTAAAATTATTTTTATTATACAATTATTATTTTTACTAATATATTATTAATTATTTACTAATTATATCCCATTAAATTGTATCTACAATAAAAAAAAAAAAACACCGTAACCGAGACAGACGGGGTAGTAGTAATAATAATAGTTAGTATTATATAGTATTAATATAATATTTCTCTAACATATAAGAAATGGGCCATATATAAAGCTCGGTTCACCAGCTTTTTTATCTGAAATAATTTTGTGTGTGCAGTATAGAATATAAAAAATATAAGATATACTCATTCCGTCTCATTTAATTGTCTACTATTTTATTTTCGTCTGTCCTACATCATTTGTTCTTTTTTTTTTCGAAAATATAATTATATACATTAATCATATTAAAATTCATAATATACTCCCTCCGTCCCGGTGCAAGATTGTCGTTTACTTTTTATACGTGGATTTTTGAATATCAGTATTATAATGAGTTGTAGTAAAAAAGACGAAAATACTCCTATTAGTATTGTATAATATAAAAGTAACGACATTTGTGTAATACAGTGTAAATTGAAAGGGTATTTATTATCTTAAGTAAGTAACACAATTACTAAATTAGAAAATGGTAACCTTGTTTTGGGACGGACGAAAATAGAAAATGGTAACCTTTCAATGGGACGGAGGGAGTATAATTTTTTATTAAAATTAAACCAGTTAGTCATCTTAATCTTAATCTATAATTATTTTTATTAAATCATAATTATTTTTTACTAATACTTCTTAATTACTTACTAATTACACCACACTTAAAATAAAAATAGTATAATCATACATAAATTCACGTAAGACCACAATAAATAAATATATATATATACACTATATATATTAAAATATAAAATAATTGATTATATTTAGTCGCTATATCACATTTTATCGCATCACCTTACTCAAATAAAAATCAAATATAGGAGTATATTTTTCTCTCTCCATCATATCACCTTATTTTCAAATTATCATATTTAATATACCCACCTAAATTCCTATATCGGAAAACAAGTTTTGCACTATGTTTGGAACGGAAAGAGTATAAAAAATCAAATGATAATGTATTTGATTTGGTATATATTAGGGTAATAACTAATACTCTTTATTTCATTTCAATTTTTGGTAAAATTTATTAAATCAAAATATATTTGACAAATATAAATTATTTTAATTAACTTCATAATATATAATACTCCCTCCGTTCACTTACAAAGTTTATATTTACTTTTGGTGCGTTGTTTAAGAAATAATAGTATTTTAATTATAGTGAGTAGTTAAAAGTAGTATAATGACATTTTTGCCCTTACTTTTTTTGTGTAAAAGTAATGATGTGATGTAAAATAAGGGTATTTGTAGAAAAAAATAGAGTATTTAATGAAATGTTAACTTTGTAATTGGACGTCCCAAAATAGAAATATGTAAACATTGTAAGTGGACGGAGGGAGTACTACATATAGGATTCATTTATTTTATTTCTTACCTAATGGTATTCATAGAATATTTAAGATATTTAAGCACATTTCTGAAGTTATTTTAATCATGTTCTTTATGCTCGTCTCTAAGAGTTACATTTATATTTTGCGTCATTATACTTAATTTAAAATACTCATATATTTGTATAATTTTTTATACAAATATCATAATATTAGTATTATAAGACACTAATAAAAGTATTTTTGCTATTTTTTTCTTAATTTGTACTACTTTTTTATATAAAATTAATATTCAAATATTAACACGCAAAAAGTAAATGTGGTCGGCCCGACGAAAAGAGTATATTAATTCTTATTTTAAAACCACCAACAATACTACTTATATAATAAAAATAATACCACAATTCATTATTATTAAGTAATTAAATTTATTTACCTTAAATATTTGTTTGTTTCAAATCAAACGAACCATTTAAAATGGGATAGAAGAAGGATATCTTTATAAAAATTAAAGAACTATGAATAATACTCCCTACATCTCACATGTTGTGTCTGCATTGCCGTTCTTATCCATCCCATATTTTATGTCATTTTTCCTTTTTTTTAGAAAATACTTATTTTGTAAGTATTATTTTTTCCATTTTCATTTGTTCAGTTTCAAAATATATTTTTCCTATTTTAGAAAAAAATAATCATACAATAATACCAAAATACCCTCACTTTTACATAAATTACAACATTCCATTACATTTATAATTACTTTATACATAAA